CCTAATTTCTCTAATTACAGCTAAATCTGTTTTTGAACTGCTTGGGTTAACAGTAAGCTGGGCTGACAGTCAGCAGCTCATGCCAATCCAGGGCTTCAAACTTGCAACCTTTCGGTTGATAGATCTTATAGTTACTGGTGACTTACCAGCTGTGCAAAACTCCCAAACCATCTCTTCTCTCCATTATACTAGGAGACATAGCCTTTGTGCTATCTTTATTCTTTGCTGGTCCTTTCTATGTCTCTTCATTGCCCCTTCAGTATATTATAGTGAGATATCCTTCTCTGCTGATCCCCCACCAATTGTGCATTCATGAGATGATCTGCCCCATTTTCTGTGGCTCTAGAGCGATATGCTGTTCTTGGCTATTTTTTTGCAGACATGATTGAAGAGGAATTTCGGGTTAAAACCACAAAAGACCTGATTAGAAGCTCCATGAAGCAAATCAGAACACTGCCTTGATTGTAGTGAATTTTAATCAAGTCCTAAATTGGATAACTTGAGAATTTTGCTCGACATAAATTTCATCCTGCCATCTCTTTCAAAGCAGCAGATGCAAAACAGCTAAGAGATTGAGATGTTTAATTCTAAGACTTATGAGAGTTTAATGAGTTTAATTTTGCAATGACAAGTCTCATAAAATAAAAATGAGCAAGAGGTAGGCAGTATGTAACTGTATAAAACAAATAATAAAGCTGTGGTTGCTGTATTTTAAAAATAGAAAAAAATGATGCACGGTGTAAGTAATTTTATTACTATGTAAGTAGATAAATCTAGGTCATGCTACAATTCTTACCACTCCACTCTGTGTGGATAAGTTACCAGTGGTACAATGGGTTAAACCCTTGGTGCCGGAAGGACTGAAGACCGACAGGTCACAGGTTCGAATCCGGAGAGAGTGCGGATGAGCTCCCACTGTCAGCCCTGGCTCCCCATGCAGGGACATGCGAGAAGCCTCCCACAAGGATGGTAAAACATCAAAACATCTGGGTGTCCCCTAGGCAACGACCAGAAGCAACTTGCAATTTCTCAAGTCACTCCTGACACACACACAAAAACCAAATAAAACCAAACCATATTTTGGACAGTTTAGCCTGAAAACAAGATGAGCTGAGATATAATGCCTTGGAGTCCTTTCTGATTCATGGTGACCCTAAAGCAAGCTTATTATGGGATTTCCTTTGAAAAATTGTTCAGAGGCAGTTTGCGTTTACATTTTTCTCAGGCCGAGAGAGTGTGACTTGCCTAAGGTCACGTAGTGGGTTTCCATAGCCAAGCAGGGATTTGAACCCTAGTTTCTATAGCTATAGTCCAATGCTCAAAGCACTACACCATATTGGTGTTCACATAAGACATAATGCAGGTTTAAAAAGTGTGTATGATATAAAGAAAGAAGATAGGCAGAGGCTTTTTGCTCCTTTGCACAATGATCACCTTTTGAAGCTGAACAGTGGGAGATTCAGGACAAATAACAGGAAGTACTTATTTACAAAGCACAGAGTTTAGCTGTGGAATTCATTGCCCCCAAAAGCAGATATGGTTGCCAAACTGGCTGGCCATCAAAGAGGACTGGATAAATTACACAATGTAACACAATTTTTGTTCCTGGGTTATAAATGCCATTTCCTAATTGGTTCTGTCATAAAAACATGGAAAAAATTTATTAAGCTGCAAAAAAAATGTTTTTACGGGACATCCTGCAGCATATTTTTGCTAAAGTTTTTCAATGAATAATATCTCGAGTCTCAAACAATTCAATATAGTTTGTGGCAGCCACAAAAATGAAGTTTCTGGAATATAACAACTTTCAAAAGTCAGTACTGCACAGTTAAACAGGAATAACACTTTCAAACCAGGAACAGATTTTTTTTCAAATTTTGTTACATAATGCTATTGGCAGATGCGGTGACCAATAGCAAATACTATGGTTGTATCTTTGTTGTTCCTCTCAGAGGTAGCATGTCTCTGCTGGAGAATATGGAATGAAAGGTACAGTTCCTCTAATGTTCTGCTTGGGGCTTCCCATAGACAACTGATGCCCAATGTCTAACCAGGGGTGGGCTAGACAGCTCTTTAATTTGGTATGCTATGTTGCACTGGATCCTAGTGTTGCACAAAGTGTCAAGGCCATTCAGCAGTGTTCCGGAAAGATAGACTAATGTTCATTGCCACTGGAAGGGGAACAATGGCAACATCAAGTGGCCTATTTTTCCAGTGCTGTGTTCTCTAATAATGTATTTTCATCCAAGGACCACTGGATGGAATGAAAAGATGGAGTTCTATGTCATCAGCATGAGCATACTGATTACATTGTATCTCAAAACTCTGCGCAACTTTTGTCCATGGTTTTATGTAAATATCAAACAGCATTCGGGACAAAACTGAGCCCTATGGCACACCAGAGGTCAAAGAGTCAAAAAAGCATCCCCTTGCATCATGTTTTGAGTGTGCCCCTCAAAGAAAGACCTGTGTCACTGTAAAACAGTGCTCCCATCCCAAAGAGGTGATCCAAAAGGACACCTTGGTCAATGGTAGCAAAAACTACTGAAAAGTCCAGCAAAACCAAGAGGGCAGACACTGCCTGTCTAGTTCACTGCCTTGATAATCTATCTCATTACCATAACTAGGCCTGAAGGCAGATTAACATGGATCTAGACAATCCATTTCATTGAAGAACCATGGGAACTGAGAGGCCACTGCATTCTCCAACACCTTGCTCAAAATAGGATATACATGACTGGCCAAAAGTTCTTCATGAGAGTCCATGGAGGACCCTAGTTATGTTTATACAACTACATTAGTGTCATAACAAGACCGTGACCCCTCCCTTTCAGTATGTATCAGAAGTCATACTAAAGTCCATGAGAGTGGAGTTCAATCAGAGGGAAAAGAGGAAAAGTCTATCATAGAATCATAGACCTCGTGGACCATCCAGTCCAACCCCCTGCCAAGAAGCAGGAAAATCACATTCAAAGCACCCCTGAGAGATGGCAATCCAGCCTCTGCTTAAAATCCTCCAAAGAAGGAGCCTCCAGCACACCCTGGGGCAGAGAGTTCCACTGCTGAAAAGCTCTCACAGTCAGGAAGTTCTTCCTAATGTTCAGATGGAATCTTCTTTCCTGTAGTTTGAAGCCATTGTTCTGCTTCCTAGTCTCCAGGGCAGCAAGCTTACTCCCTCCTCCTCCTCCTCCTCCAATTGTTCTAGTGGCCTATTTGTTCACATGATTTGTAAAAACTGTAAAAGAAACCTGCTTTAGAAGATTCTTTTTTAAGGAAATATGGAGTTCAGCGTATAATCTCCAACTTTTTCACCTACCTATATTACTGTATATTATTTATTTACTTACTTACCTCCTTACTTATTGTATATTAGGTAATGCAGAAATGCACATGAAATTTGAGTTTAAGTTATGTTGTCTGTGAATAAATATCAAAGTTTATCTGAGTACTGACAATTTCAAAAAGTTGTACATAGTAGGAGTTTATATGGTTGCACAGATGTGCCTGCATACAACCTTTGTCTTCTCTCTTTGGTGGCTTGCTTAAACTCTTTGTTAGTTCTGTGATCATAACTAGGCTTTAGAAATAAAAATGCATGAGAGAAAACATGGCCAGATCATCCAATAGAGGACAGTTGTTGTATGCACATGATGAGCAGGGCAATCCTATGATTCTGGAAAATTGTCTAGCTGTTACTCAAGGTCTACCCCTGATATAATGCCATGTGCCCAGCAGCAGAATCAATGTCACAACAGAAGTACAACCAATATAACAGAAATGCAATTATGCTTCTGTCATACTAGGACAGTAGTTCTCAATCTGTGGGTCCCCAGGTGTTTTGGCCTACAGCACCCAGAAATCCCAGCCTGTTTACTAGCTGTTAGGATTTCTGGGAGTTGAAGGACAAAACATCTGGAGCCCACTGGTTGAGAACGACTGCACTAGAACATACAGCTGTAGTCATTTTCCTTGTGGAAAAACTAAGACTCAATCTACCAAGTTTTTTCTCCAATTATTATATGAACAAAATTAGGACTGCAATACCCTAATGAAAGGGGAAAGCAATGATTTTTTTTAAAAAAACCCTTATTTAACCTGAGATGATGCCTCTCTAGGGATCACTAGGCACTCCAGTATCAGTCTATGGTCAACTTCTGCCAGAAACTGACCATAAAATTGTGCTGAAGGACTTACAAATGCACAAAAATGTTAACTTTAGGAATTTCTAGATCCTCTAGCACAACACAGAGTCATGCTGGAGGACCTAGAGATTTCAAGAGAACTTACTTAGGCGATCCCTCGTAGTCCGAGGATGATGGTCCTCCAAGAGTGGTGACTTGGGGGTGGATCCGTAGGTGGCTGTGAACATGCAAATCAAGAGAACATGCGAATCAACTCTGAATAATCAAATCTGAAAAAGTTAAACCCTTAAATGTTAAGGGGCAACTGTTGTCAATAGTTAAGTCTATGAAGCTCATCAAGTTTGGGTTTCTTGTCTAATTCTGTCATACAACCTATATACCATGTAGGAGTGTCTTTTGTCCTCCAGATGTTAGAGTGGTCCTAGCCAACATGCTAAATAGTGAAAAATGATGTATGCAGCAACATCTGGAAGGACTACATGAGATTCACTCATGTGAACAAATATATCTGTTAGGCATGGCGGAAATGCCATGGTTGTATCTGCTTTGAATGAATGTGAAAATGAACTGAAGATTAGTTTGACTTTAGCTTACTGTCAACAGTATCACTTCCCCTTGAACTGCAACTTTTGAATATTAACATGTAATGCATACAGGTACAATGGGACTTCCAGAGTTAGACCGGATGTGGGTTTTCATCAAATTGTTAGTTATTTCACTGGCCATTTTGGGTGGGCAATTTGGGAAGTTATAGTTCAAAAAATAGACTGCTATGGGTAAATGTATACAAATGGATATGAATGCCTGGTGTATTTCCATACAGTTTTAATAAGACAATTTCTAAATTTTGTGTTCTAGGATCTAGTTTGGGGTCCAGATGGAAAGGTCCAAAATTAAATATTACAGGAACACAACATGTCATACAGGAAGGAGACTCTTTAAACATCATGTGCAGGTAATTAGTTGGTTTTGGTGGGAGGGTAAGCTTTATATACCTTTGCCCTACTGTTAATATACTATTGTTCTAATTTGCCTTTGGTGGGAGTGAGAGAGGGACCTATTAAGAGTGAAGGAGCCAGGCATTAAAAAGACCTTTGTGTTTGTGTTTTTTTCTTCTTCATTTCTGTTGTTGCTTATAGAGAAGGTTATTTCCAAGATCTCCAGAAATAGCTTGATGCAGTCAACTGAAGGCATGGGAATTAGCCCTGTATTATTGTAGTACAACTTAATTGTTCCTTGTTGCTTTTGCTTCCTTATCTGCCTTTACAGTGGGGAAGTGGTCCATTCATGGTCTCTGCCTGAAAGTCTCACTAAGGACAGCAAACGGGTGGATATAATTACCAGTTCTTGTGGAAGGAACGGAAAGCAGTTCTGCAGCAGCCTGACCTTGAACAGAGCTCAGCCCGGTGACACAGGATATTATATCTGCAAATATCCATCCTCAAGTGCTCAGAGAAAGAAGACAGTCTCAAAAATATATGTATTTATCAATGGTAAGATCCCATTTTTTCTAAAAACAAACATTTTGTACAATTCTGAAATTAAGGGAGAATCATGAATCGTGTAGATCTTGTGTAGTTCCATTGCTTGGATATTTTATGACCTAACAAAAAGACACCTGGAGCAGAAATGAGAGACATTATTGTAAAAGCTAGCAAGTAATTTCCATCTTTACTGGTCAAGTGCTAAATACACCATGCAAGGTTTCAAAACCCCACTGGCTAAATCATCAGGCAAATATGTTAACATAATATAGGCCTGTGATTCCACCACATAATTGTTTTTCTCCTGCATTATTTTTAAGCATCTTTTGCTGTTGAAAAAGCCAGTGGAACTTCAAAAGCTTGCCTGATGTATTTTATGTATTTTGATTGGCCAATAAAGTTATCACCTTTTTTTTGCGGATTTTATATTTTGTTGTATTTTGCTGCAGGGACAAAATGGCAACCTCTAAATATGTTTGTGTTACTTAAAATAAAATTATTGTCTGCAAGTTGCTTATTTGTAGTACATCACATTACTTTTAAAAGGAAAAAAAGAACCAAAAGATTAAAAAAATCTCCAGATTTCCCAAATGACTCCCAGAATCACATTTTGAAAAGTCAACACAGCTCATTGGGGAGTTATAGTTCAAAACTATAGAGCTCAAAACCAGACTAGAATGGTTAATAACATTGGTAACCATTTCATTATTTTCCAAAGTTACATTGTTGCCCTTTTGAGTTTCCTTTGTGGGGAGAAAAGCAGAGTATAAATAAACATAAACAATAAACAACAACAACAACAACAACAATAATGTATTGGCACTTGGGAAGTGTCTGACGTATGATTCAATACAAAAGTCAGCATAGTAATATTGTTTGCTGTGTACTAATCTTGTTGTGTATCAATAATAATAATAATAATAATAATAATTTGATACATAACAAGATTAGTGCATAGCAAACAAGATCACTATGCTGCCTTTTGTATTGGATCACACGTCGGACACTTCTCAAGTGTCTAGGACTGTGTGATGTATCGTCAAATAATGCGTGCAGATCCGAGTAGGGTGGCCTTCTGCAGCTGACAGATCGTAATTTTGTCAGCGCCTATTGATTTTAACTACAGGCCAAGGTCTTTAGGCACTACACTCAGTGTGCCAATCACCACTACGACCAGCTTTGCTGGCTTATTCCAGAGTCTTTATAGTTTGATCTTTAAATCCTCATATCGTGTCAGCTTTTCCAGTTGCTTCTCGTCAATCCTACTGTCGCCTGTCAACAATCCATACTTGGTTGTTGTTGGTTTTTTTTTCATGATTGTGAGGTCAGGAGTTTTGTGCTCCAAAACTTTTGTCAGTCTGGATTTGGAAGTCCCAGAGTAGTTTGACGTGTTCCTTTTCTGTAACTTTTTCAGGGTTGTGATCGTACTAGTTCTTTGTCCACAAGCAGGTGGTATCTGTGACACTAGTTCCAATGTATCATCTGAGCAACTGTGTTGTGCCTTTGCTTCTTCTTCTTCTTCTTCTTCTTCTTCTTCTTCTTCTTCTTCTTATTATTATTATTATTATTATTATTATAAGAGTATTTAATTACTTAGTATGGGTTATCTGAAAACTTTGTACTGAAGTACAGAGATCTGAAGTTGTAAAAGGCCGGACATCTGTAATTTTTGTTTTTCTTAGTTTTTAAATTATGGAACATGCTTGATAAACTTCTGGAAAAAATGTACAATTGAGGACCATGCTTATGACATGGTCAGTAATCAGATCTTCCATAAAAAAACCCAACAAATTTACAGTCAGCTGTAACTTTTGACATTTTTGTGTACCTTCTTCAAGTCATTTCTGACTTACAACACTAGGGTTTTCTGGGGCTGAGAGGTTGTGACGTTGTCCATGTTCACCCAGTGAACCAAATGTCAAAATGTGGATTCAAACCCTCGTCTCTAGAGTCATAGTCCAACACTCACACCACTATGCTACACACTCAAATTAAACTAGGTCAATAATGTCAGATTAAGTCATTCCTCTGAAGTGCTTCCTGACCAGTTGTGAGGCTACTAAGAGTCCCATTGGGGGAAGTGGGTATTAGCAAGGCTGATAGCTTTATGTGAGGGGTGTGTGGTTTTTAAAAGCCTATTGGCAGATCTGGCCACAGATCTCCTTTTGTTACATTACAGTGGAGATGAATCAAAACACAAAGTCAAAGTTTTATAGGCCAGACATGTGGGTGGAAAAAAAGAACAGTAAAGTCGCTTGGCTGGTGGAATTTTGTATGTCTTATCTAAAAGGAAGTGGACCGGAAGTGTGTCTAGAAAACGATTAGAATATTCCATCCAACGCTATCAAATGCGTACCTAGTAATATTCTTGCAGTAACAATGTTGCTAGGTGTGTGTGTGTTTTTTAGACAAAGGGCATAAGATGCCATCATGCTGCCAACAGAAAGAACACCAAAATGTCAAAGAACAATGTTGTGGAGTTTTTAGAAATAAAGTGTTAATTAACAAATAAATTGAGGCTTAAGTCACATCTATTAACTTATTTGACCATGTAACCACAATCAGTTCCCAGAAGCACCACCCAATTTGTCCAACTGTCAGGAATGCTGGGAACCGAAGTCCAAAACATATGGAGGACCATGGGTTGGGAACCACTGACTTAGAAGATTGTCACCAGATGAATTCCCCATTGTTGAGGATAGGAAAGAAAAAATGTCAACAACAGTGTGATCAGGTATTTTTTAATTTCATGGGTGACAATGTACACATTTGAAATCAGGACTATATCCTATATCTTTTTTGGCACCTTCCTATTAAAAAAGAATCGTGATGCTTCATTCTTTGATTAATAATAATATTGATTTTTGATTAATAGTAAAGAACTCAAATCAAGGGTTCTTGAATGCCTACAGCACACCGCTCTGATTTGCAAAGCCTGTCAAATGGAACCTGTATTTACAAACCATTTCAGTGAACAGTATTCAATTTAAAACCAAAATTTTGCATGATAGGAAAGCAAAGCTACATATTACAAGGCAGGCATGGGTTTAGACTGTCAGCTATAGGTGGAGTGATGAATTCAAGAAAGCCATGGCTCCGAGTTTGCAAAAACCAGGACCCATCCAAACTGCCATGGCAGTGTATAGTCATACATAGCCAAAGTACATAGTCTGGATTATCTATTTTGATAGTTGGGTTGTATGTAGATCCAGTCTTAAGGCCCTTCCACACAGCCCTATATCCCAGAATATCAAGGCAGAAAATTTTACAAGATCAGCTTTGAACTGGGTTATCTGAGTTGAGTCCACACTCAGCTAATGTGGGATTTTCTGCCTTGATATTCTGAAATATAGGGCTGTATGGAAGAGCCCCTAGTGCTGTCAATAACAAGGTTTCCTGGAGGACTCACATTCATACATTCACTGTAATTTGAAGCCAGTTGACAACACAAATAAAACAACGTTCCCTTAGCGTAGGACCTGAGGCATCTTCCAATATGAATTGAAAGAGAATTCAGCTAACATCCAATCAGTAGTAATATCTAAGGCCCCTTTTACACTGTCATATAATCCAGAATATCAAAGCAGATAATTCACATGATTTGCTTTGAACTAGATTATATGAGTCTACATTGTCATATAATCCAGTTCAAAGCAGATAATCTGGGTTTCATATGGCAATGTAGATAGGGCCTAAAAAGCATTTTTGAAAACCCATTCAAAAGAGCTGTCATATTAAAATGAAGTACTAAACTAAACAGCAATTTGAGGGGGAAAATATAGCACCTACGACTGACAGACTCTTCAAAACAGCCAGTTAGTGGTCAAGTACCAGTCTGATCAAAAAGATCTAAACATGGTAGTAGAAGGAAAGCAGAAAGAGAACCAGCCTAGGTTCCCATGAAAGGGCATGCCCTGTGATGAGACTGGAAGGAAGACCTCCACAGAAGATGTCAAAACTCAAAACAGGCTTTCAGATAGTCTGGATCCAAATCATAACTAGCACTTTGATTTGTACCTGGAAACAGACCAGTGACCAGTGAAGTTGTCATAACAAGGAGTTTCTGTTCTCTATATAACCAACTCTGGGCAGAAGTCTCACCACAGCATCTTGGATGTGTTGATGTCTCAGAACACTTTCCAAAGTTAGCCCCACACAGAATGTGTTATGGTCATCCAAACAGGATGAGAGCATGGCATGTATCATTGACTGAATCAGACCTTTCCAGGAACAGGCACAGCTGGCACATCATCTTTAACTGTGCAAAAACAAACTCCTGGCCATAGATGAAACTTGGGTACTCACCCAATTTTCATGGGGAATGTCAACATACCCACCATAGACTAGAGGAACACATCTCTGGCAACAAAAACAAAGCTGGACACTCCTCTGTGGAAGCCAGTGTGGTAAACTGGTTTGAGTGTTGTGCTGCCATTTGATTCCTTGCTTGGAAACCCACTGGGTGACCTTGGGTAAGGAACACACCTTCAGTCCCAGAAAACACAGTAATGGGTTTAGAAATGACTTGAAGGCACACAGCTATGACAACACTCATCTCCTCTGCCCCTGCCACAAACTGGAGGGACACATGTTAGGCAACAAAAACAGAGCTGGACACTTCAGATGAATATACACTGCCCTATATCTTCTTTGAACTGGATTATATGAGTCTACACTGCCAGATAATATGGGATAAGCAGATAATCTGGGATCAGATCCTGGCATATCGTGCAGTGTAGATTCAGCCTTCTCTGCCTATCCTCCTCCAGTGAGGGAATTGGGAGGGCACGGCTAGTGCTGAAAGTTTGGGTTTAAAGGTGAAAGAAGCCTAAGTATGATTGTTCCACTTGGCAAAACTTTACAGTACCTCATCCTGTTTTAGATCTATTTGGGATTAATGTTACAGGAATCTATGGATCAGCTAGCCCTCTTGCTTCATTCTGATCCAGATCTTCAACCCACTGTGTCTGTCCATTAACAGTATAATTTATTGGTTGCCTTTTGGGACC